CCTTCCCATTGCGTCCTGCCCAGTGTGTCCTGCCCAGTGCATCCTGCCCAGTGCATCCTCCCCAGTGCATCCTGCCCAGTGAGTCCTTCCCCAGCGTCCTGCCCAGGGCATCCTGCCCAGTGCATCCTGCCCAGTGGGTCCTTCCCCAGTGTCCTGCCCAGCGCATCCTGCCCAGCGCATCCTGCCCTGTGAGCCCATCCCAGGACTCTGGAGTCTTCGCCTGGCCTCCAGTCTTGCTCCTTAATCACTGTCACGGAACCTTCTCCTAGATGGCTGGAAGGAGCCTTTGATGATTATTCAAGCTCCTCTAATTTTAAAGCATTAAAATTACTCACATGAGCAATCTCTCAGTTTGACTGCAGGTAGAGAACGGAGCCGCAGGGTGCCCCTTTCCAACAGCACCAGTCTCCTCACAGCGCTGACTCAGGCTGCATTGAAGTGGAAGACACCTCAGTGTCTGATTTTTAATCCAGGCTTTGGCCCCAGGCTCATGTAGCACGCAAACCAGTTCACTTTGAAAGCCAGGGAGCTCCTCCCTTCCAGGACGGGCAGGAAGTCTTCTCTGATTTGGGGAGCTGTCTGGAGTAGCACATACTCAGGAGCACATAGATGAGCAAATTTGCTCTCTTGGAACTATTCTTAGAAGCACAAATCATTGTTTACTAGTAAATAAACTGAGAGAACTTTAATTTTACCTTAATTAGACAATTACTAATATTTGGGAATTGTAAGAAAGAACAGAGAGGAGACTTTTAATGGCTCAAGACATATACGATAATGAGAGATGCACAAGGGGCACGACTTGAGGTAGCAGCGAAGGCGGCCTAGTTTTGTCTAAAGTAGAACGTAGCGGAGACAAATGCACGTTTCGGTTCTTAATTCATCGCATCTCGGGAACTCCTCATCCAGCTTTCGTTTTCCACAGACACTTTATTTATCATCTTCTGCTTAGTTTTATGTACAAATTTTTCCTCAGGCCAGAGTGCCTCTAAATAGGCACAGCTTTAAACTGACTCACTGCTAAATATACTTTTCTACAGAGCAGCTAGGAGGTGTGTGTGGAAACTACAATGAATGTTTGCATTTTTAAAAGGCCCTCTTCTAGTAAAAGACACGTGGCCACGGTGCCCCGCATGCTCCCCTTCACCCCAAACCTGCTCACGCAGCCCTTGCTGCCCCGCGGCGGCTCTGGAGGCCTCCCTCCTCACGCCTGCAGTTGCGCCGTCTGTCCCGGCGGCCTCTGGCGTCCTGAGTGGACTCAAGCGTTTCCCTTCCCTGGTCACTGGCTTTGGCAAAGCCAGCAGGGTCCGGTGCTCAGTGTAAGCGACGTGGGTGCGGCCATGCTCTGCCACTCTGCACAAGCCCACCCTGCGCATTTGTTCACGCCCTATGGAGACACTCAGGAGACGGCTCTTCCAGAACGGCCTCCGACAGCGCCTCGAGCCTGGAATACCTGTGTGCAGGGCGCGGGGTGCATTTGTGACAATTAATGCCAGCCTGTCTTTTACCGTCATGTCTTTTTAATTTAGGCACTCACAAGCTTTGATCATACCTCATGTTTGTGGATTTAGTGAACATCAAGACTAGTTATTTCTGTGAAAAAAAGAATGATGTGCCTTAAAACTTAAACTAGAGGGTCAGCCAAATAGCTCAGTGGATTAAAGCACCTGTGAGCAGGCGCAGGGGCCGGGGCTTGGGCCCCCAGGCCTGCTGTGCCAGCCCCACCCCTCGGGCATGCTGAGAGACGACTGAGCCTGGGCGTGGTGGCGCACACACCTGCAGTCCCAGCTCTTGGGAGGCTGTAACCAGGCGGATCACCAGGAGTCTCATCTAGTAGTGAGACCCTGAACACCCTGTAGACCCTTCCCTAAAAATACAAGGGAAAAAAAAACACCCTTAAACTAGACTCCAGAATAGCGTGGGCACGGAGCCAGCAGCAATGTCCCTGCGGTGCCACCGAGCAGGACTGCAGGCTCCATCCTGCTGGCCCACCGAGGCGCCCGCAGCCCTGCCCAACCCTCTCCCTTGGGGTCTGCCCAGCTTCCTAACACAGTCTCTTACCCCACAGAGCCTTTTCTGCTTGCTCTATTTTTGTTTTTAATTGACGCTCCGTAATTGCACATATTTATAAGGTGCGGTATGACATCTCAGCGCCTGAGTACAAGGAGTGCAGAGCTCATCAGGCGAGCAGTGTGCTCAGTGCCTCGGACACGTCTTGTGCCCTTGGAATGACACCACTCGCTGGCTCTGTGTCCAGTCAGTTGCTGCCATCCACAGCTGTCCTGCTGCGCAGCCGAGCACTAACCTTGTCCTTTCTGCAAACTCATGTCTGAGAACCACTCTCTGAGGATTTTTTTTATCTAGAGAAGCATTTATTTATTATCAATTTTGTTTTCGTTGACCAAGAATCATTTTTTCTATTTTGCTTATTTTTCTGCAGCTAAACTGAGAATGTATAGGACCCCCAACCCAATGAAATGACATTCTTAGACATTGGATTCTCTGATTAAAACTACGGACGCTTCACGAATTTGCGTGCCGTCCTTGCGCAGGGGCCCTGCTCGTCTTCTCTACATCGTTCCGATTTTAGCATATGTGCTGCCAAAGCCGGGACTCACCGGAGAATTGACGGGTAGATGGGGGTGGGCGGACACTCACGAAGGTGGACACATAGATGAACACACAGTATGTGAAAAGGTAGATGCAATTATCCATTTTTATGAAGAGCCAACTATAGCACACTGTAATATTTGTAAGTAAACAATAATGCTGGGGGGGGGGGTGTGGAGAGTTGGCTCAGTAGAATAAGTGCTTTCCTGGCAAGCTCAAGGGCCTGAGTTCTATCCTCGGTTCCACCAAAAAAAAAAAAAAAAAGGCTGGAATGCTGGGTACCTAAACATGTTATACCTCCAGCAAAAGGGAGGAAAACAGTACATGACACTGCCTTTCTCTGTCCACAAAAAATACAAAAGCTAAAACGTTTTTCAGCACTAAGTTCAAGTCAGGTACTATGGCATTTGTCAGGAACCGATGCATGTGGCTCTGCAGGGAGTGATACCTGTAATCCCTTCAGCAAAAATAGAAAATTTGCCGCACAGTCTCTTCTGGGATGGGATCAGGTCCACGTCTAGTGTGAAGGCTGAAGCCTGTGTGTGGTGTGTGTGTGTGTGTGTGTGTGTGTATGTGTGCACAGGTGTGATCAGTGTGTGTGTGTGCATGTTCCCTTGTAGTTTGCTTGCTCACAGCCAAGGACCTTGCACGACAGAGGGTGAGTGAACAGCATGGGCTTCTGCAATTAGCAGAGGGGCCAGCACTTCAATCAGGAGACACAAACCAGCCCTTCTCCCAACCTGTCCCCCAGAGCTGGCTATGGCGACCATACCGGGGCAGGTGCAGGCCGGCCAGGGATGAGGCTGTGGGTGCGAGGATGCTGAGGTCCCCACCTTGATTTATTACACACTTTGGACCTGGAGTCTGGCAGGGGTGAGGGTAGGAGCTGCAGCCCTGTGCTGGTCTGCAGGGCTGTTCCGGCTCATGCTCCTGGCAGTGTCCCACTGACCGGGGCTGTGTGCCTCACAGCCGGCAAGAGCATGTAGGAGCCCACAGGGAGGTGAGGCCAGCCCTGGTTAGATGCTGGGGACACCCCAGGTCACTGCACTTCTGCACGCTGGCTCTCGGAGTTGTGGAGAAGGCAAGCAGACGAGAGGCGGGGGAGGCGTCCTCCTGCTGGACAGGCTTGCCTGGGGTCGGGGGAGGGACAGGCGACAGAGGGCGCATGGGCTATGGACTCCGCTTCTCCCTGCTCTGACCTCCACTCAGCGCCCTGTCCTGCCCTGACACCTAACAACGTGAGAGAGGGAGAGGAATCCACTAGCGAATTCAGCTTGATTAACCGGGCAATCCCTAATTTTAACTCCTGGAAGATGGAATGTATGAAGCGTCTGACTCCGTCTAAACAGGGACCTTCAAATAACAAACGGCCATCGGAGTATAGACTCAGCTTCAGCTGGTGCGTCTGCAGCTCAGCTCGGCCCTAGCCCGGGCCGCCTGCCGCCTGCCGCCTGCCGCCTGCCGCCTCCCGCCTGCCACCTGCGCTGTCTCTCCTTCCCCAACCTCTTCTGTGTTTCTCCCACTTCCTCTCTTTCTCCTTCTTACATTTTCATTCTTTTAAATTGGTTCCTTCCGTAAACAATTAGCGAAGGTTTCTGGAAAAGGGGGTTAAAAACTTCCCTTGAAAAAGCAGCTATGGGAACTCTAACAAAAACGAAGGGGTCTGACCCGTGAAAAGGGGGAGGAAGCCGCTGGCGCAGGCGCCCCAACACCTTCAGCGGGCCCTCCCAGCCCCGCCTGCGCGCTAAATCTCCTCGAACTGGAGGGGGCTGCACTTGCCCTGAAATTCCAGTCAGCTGGTGGTCTGATGCCAAGTTGGGACCAAATGTGACTCTCCAGCACCCCCCTCCCCCCACCCAGTTAGCTCCGCCAGCCGCACCTGGCTAAGGCCAGCCACAGGCAGCCTGATGCAGCTCAGCCTGACCGCGCTGAGCGGCGCACCCTGTGCTTTCTGGTCACAGATGTGTCCTGGGTTTTCGTCTGTTTTGAGACAGGGTCTCGCTTTGCAGCTCAGGCTGGCCTTGACCTCAGTTTGTAACCCAAGCTGGCCTCGAACTCGCAAGGTTTCCTCTGTCTCAGCCTCCAGAATGCTGCGATTACAGGCGTGTGCCAGCGCACCTGGCTAGACGTGTCCTTTCTCACTAACTCACTCAGCGGACTTTCCGCCCCACAACAAGAGGCCCAACACGACCAGCGGAAGCTCGTCATATTTCCATACTTCTGTGTTTCTTGCTCGCAAAACCTCCGGAAGCCCATCCCGCAGCCAGCCGGGGCAGTCCTTCGGGAGCGATCCCGCGGGCCTTCCGGAGCCTGCAGCCGGCTGCCCTCCTGCTCCTGAGAAAAAGCATTTTCTCATTTCGCTTGTTACTGGCCCTGCAACAAGCTGACCCAGGTGCTGGAGGACTGCAGCAGCTGCGCCTGCAGAGGCCACTGCCCTCCCCACACTGGTGTGTCGTTCCGCAGGTGAAATAGGGTCACGACCTCTGACAGCCAGGAGATGTGCCTGGCCCGGGGTCCTCACCCTTGGGCTCTGGGCCTCCCTCCTGGTGGCCGGAGCAGCTCCTGGGTGGGGATCCCGGACAGACAGACACTTAAAGCATCGCGAGAATATCAGAAAAAAGAGCTCATTTGGCCCCAGAGAAGCACTGAGTAAAGTTACTATGGGAAGCTGAAGTTGGAATCACACCCTGAAAGATCGATCCATGGTGGATTTTCCCCCAAATAAGTGAGTTTGACCCTGACTTGCTGCCCGTGAAGCCCCATAGAAGGGGGTTCTCTGGAGGCACAGAAGTCGCTCCCCAGCGCAGGCTCTGCCTCTGCTCCTCTGTCCCGCTTCTCCTGAGGTCACAGCTCCGGCCACTGACTGCTCTGCTGCAGGTGCAGCTGCAAAGGAGGGACCAGAGGCGGAAGCGGGGAAGCGTGGGGGACGGAGGGGCCGCAGCCCTGGGGTCTCACGTGGCTCCAGCAGATCCCGGTGCTCCGCGACCCTCAGAGCACCTGCTGTCAGCCCTCACTGCGCGCTCCTAGCGGCGCTGCAGGGCGTCTCTGGAGCGACAGCAGCAGGATCGGAAGCCCTCTGAACTGCGCAGAGCTCTGAAACGCGCTGCTTCTGAGCCTGGCGAGCGTGAGCTGCTGCGCTGCTGCGGCCTGAACGCGCACGGGCCTCTGGAGTACGAGGTGTCCGGTCCCCTGCAGAGGAAACTTGGAAGCAGCCGGTGTGTTCACCAGCAGATGAGCGCATAGAGAAAGCGCGGACCTCCGCACACTGGAGCATGCTCCGCGGTGAAGAAGGATAAACCTGAGTGATTGGCAGGAAAATGGACGCGTCCCGAGGCCATACCGTTAAGTGAAATAATCAGATACATAAGCTGAAATGTCGCATGGTTTCCCTTACGTGAGAAAGCTAAAGTATGCATAACTTTTTTTTTTTTTTATGTGTTTAGTGCAGAGTCCACAGGATCTCACTACACAGATCAGACTCCTAGTGATCCTCCTGTTTTCAGCCTCCCAAGCACTGGGATTACAGGCCTGCGCCACCACACCCAGTCTCAATCACTGTCTCAGTGTGCCCCAGGGGCAGAGCCTGCAGGGCTTGTGGTGCTGGGGATTGAACCCTGGCAAGTTGCCTAAACAGGTGTTTTAGTCTGCTGAGCTGTCTGATCAGCCCCAAGTATGCATAAATTAAAGAACAAAATGAAAGACAGGTAACAGAAAGCTGGCGCTACAGCTGCGGGTCCTCTGATCTCCAGAGAGGAGAGGTGGCCAGGATGGTCCCTGCCAGCCGAGGCTGCTGCCAGCACAGGGGACAAGTTGCTGCAAGACCGCCCATCACACAGGCTGGGACAGAAGGCATCACCTGGCCCTCTTCCCTACTTAGCCCACAGAGCCGACTTCTATCCCAGCCTGTCCCAGAGGCAGAGGAGTGGCTGCTGAGGTACGGGATGCCTTTTACTGCCTTTCAGATTTCCCTGTAATGTGCCATTGCTGGGCATCTTTTTCTTCATATGGTATAGACTTGGGCCAGGGAGATAGCTCCGTAGAATGTCTAAAAGCCATCTCCAGAGCTTTGGGTACAACAGGTAGGGAAGCAACCCGGCACACTGTAGGTTCTCAGGGACCTCAGGGCCTATGCAGGAGTTGTGGCCTCAATGGAAAAACTGTCCTAGAATGCTTGTCCCAAGTCCCTTGCTCCTCTGCCTTGACCCCTGACAAGCATTCCTCCCCAACAGCAGCCTCCATGCCGCTTCCCCGCCTTCCTGCTGCGAACAAGGCCGGGGGACCATCTGACACCACTCCACCAGAGTTGCTCAGTGGGTTTATGGCAGGACAGGAAGGGAGAGGGAGCAGTCCTGAAGGGCCCAGCTCACCGCCCTCCTGCAGCCCAGAGCAGCTGCCTAGCAGCAAAAGCCATAAGACTTGGGGCAAGCTGCTAGAGGTTCTGAGCCAGGAGAGGGACACACTGTGGAGCCTTGGCAGCCAGGACACTGGCTTCCTTTCCCACAGCTTAGATAGGAAAATCAAGTCCCGTGCTCAAGACCACAGGGGGGCTGGATTCTGCCTGTTTTCTCATTGGCTGTGCTCGCTTCAACTATGCTGACAAGCAATCAATCCAAGTGGCCCGGGCTGCTGGCAGACACTTTCCCTGGAGCTTCACTGCCTGGTGCAAACGTCCAGACGCTCACATGTGTCCCTTACTCCTGCCACTTATGACTGATGAATGGACATCGGTCATAAGGATGGACAGGTGTGACTAGGAGGGCAGGGAGCCAGGGTGGGGGACTCACATATGCTCACACATGCACACATGCACACATACACACAAGCACATGCTCACACACACAGACACATGCACCCCTAGGCATATGTGCACACATGCACAGAAACACACATGCACACACACACACACACAGAGGCACACATGCATCCACAGGCACACACACACATGCACGCACACGTGCACATGCTCACACATACTGGCAGATACTCACACATATGCACACATGCACAC